CCTTTATTTCACTCACTGGGGTAGACTGATCTAGTTCTACGTGCCATGATTAATGAATGTCAGTTATCTCCTGTTAATTCCTCTCTACAATTTTTCCACTGCCTTAACCGGGTATTGAACACACACTCTGAATCTTGTCACTGGATCTAACCAACGCCTTTATCCACTGTGCCATGTGTGAAATAAAGGGTTCAGTTCGACATTCCAACTACCTGAAGAAGACCGGAGCATACAACGGCCGAAACGTTGTAATAAATATGGCGATAATGAGGACAATAGTCCGAATAATGTAAATAGGATGTTATTTTTTATTTATTTTAAGTAATTGGTTAATATTTTAAATAATTTACTGCATAATTTATACGTTATCAGATAATTCAAAATCATAATAGAACAGTGAACAGAAAGGATTGCTGCATGCTAAAACTGGAACGAATCTGACAATAATTGCTTCAATTCGTCTAACATTTTCGGTGGATAGTAACATGTACACTTCCAAATTCTCCTCAGACAGCGAATTTCTTAACTTTGTCTTTATTATGGTGATTTTTCAAGAGTAGCTCAGATGTGACACAAGGCCGACTGTATGGGTCAGCCTGTGAGGATCGAACTCACTACTCACTCGTAATTGATTTAGCGAGACAAGCTTGCTAACCGTTATACCACGTCGAAGTGCCCACTTTGTCTTTATTATGCTTAGCTTTGAAAATATCTTCTCACATTGAACTTAAATGACTTTATAGAGTTCTTATTTCTTTTTATTACAAAAACAGTCATCTGTTTTTGTTCCTTTCTAGCATTTTTATTTGATATAGGGTCCCACTCCATCAGGAGGCCGCTTAGCATCGGGCAAGCTGACACCCTGGCCAGTCCGCCACTGATCATCAACCTCTGTGGAATTAAGTCAGAATAATAACAAAGTACAACACTAGTAGAAGATAAGTCGACTAAAAGAATCAGCACTCATCCCTAATAAGGTCAGTCTGTCTAGCGCAGAAAATAACAGAATTTAGTAAACTTCTTTAATTGAGAAAGAAAGAAAGACACTAGGCTTAAGACTAAATATTATTTTTACGGCTTATCAACCTTTTGCAGGTTATTTAAAACCAGAAAATAGTTTTACTTTGTAAGAGTTTTTTAAGATAATAATAATATATTATTACAAGTCCGACTAATTAACCCATAGCTGGGGAGAAGAGTGGGGTCCATGCCTTTCTCGATGTTATTTGTGAGTAAGTGAATATACCGAGCCCAACTAGAATTGAAACTCTACCTTCTGATCAATTCTGAGCCATTATCTATTACCCCGCCAGTACATCCAAGATTACAGCACCCGGTATTCCAAAGTAACCATCTAGATACTAACCAAGCTTGACGTTGTTTAACTTCGGTTATCGAACAAGGACCAGTGTTTCAATGTGCCGTAAGCCTGAAGACTAAAGAATTCAATCACCCAATTACACTTTTCTCTAGCTATGAGTTCAATAGCGGGACAACCTGGGTCCTGTAGCCTCGATTTGCAAGTACACAAAATAGCAGCAGCCTACTAAGGGAATTCTCCCATGAAGTAAAAAGTGACATTATCATCCAAGCATGTATCACACTTGGCACTTAAGGATGAAAGTATACTACGAATAGCGAGGGCTAAAATGTAATGGTTAACAAGTTTATCTTGCTAGAACAATTAAGACTGAGTAGTGAGTTCGATCCTCACTGGGTGCCCCATACTTTCGGCCTTGTGCCCCATCTAAGCTACGCTTGGAAATTCTATATACTACGAATAGCGAAAAAGTAATTCTAATTCAATAGAAGTGGCAGACAAACAATATTAGCTTTAACTCTTAATGTTTTTACCACCAGATTTCTCAGAGGATAAAAAATGTCGTTAATCGTATATAGTAATCTAGTAGTCATGGGTTCGATCCATGGGTCGGGTAGTGTAAAAAATAAATTATTCTGGTTCAGTGAAAGTAATAGACATGCGACAAAGCAAGGACGAATTAACCGATATGAGTTATGTGCCCTTGCATGGGAACAGTCTACTCGTAAACCGAATAAAGAGTTCAGTTCGAAATTTCAATAATGTTGCAAACTGCAATAGATACCTGAAGAAGGTAAACGATCGAAATTTAGTAATGAAAGTTTTATCTCTTATTTCTTACTCTCTTTGCTCGATGTGAGTATCATTTTTCAGATCATTACCAAATATTCTAGAGAAAAACGTTGATCAAAAGCCTGAAGAATTTTTCGTTCGTGACATCAACTAATTACTAAGTCTTGTAACACTAAAATCATTATTATTTAGAAAATTCCTACAATCTAAAAATATTTTATGGCTTTAAATAACCTGCAAGTGGTTGATAAGCCTTAGAAAACGAATCAATCAAAAACTTTATTTTCAACTTAATAAGTGCAGTGCAATTGTAAACTTAATCTATCGTCATTCTTGATTATATAGTGAACATTGTAAATAAACATAAGATGAATGACGTGTATGAAAAATACTGCTTCCTCTTGCATAGAAGCTGCGCATGTACTTTTAGCGAAATATTTATCAACAGAAGGTCTATCTAATTTACTACAAACAGCGTGTTTTGCCGAAACAGGAGCTGATCTTACAAGATGTCGAAACCGGAGATGATCATACAAGACACGGTCAATTATTTATGCGTAAGAAATAAACACAAATCCCATTTTCTTCATATAGCACCATTATGGTTGTCTTTATTCAACAGGATTTCAATGTCATGAATCTTATTTCAGAAAAGGCGAAATATAAATCTGAAAGAGCATAAATATAGACGTGCCGCTTGGACATCAGTTGCATTGAGATTACCTTCTTTTCTTCGAGAAAGATAGAAAATTGCTATTTCCATGGCAAATGTTCAGATGAATTCTATTCGGATTCGGATTTTTACTGCTAGATCACGCCGTATTACTTCCACGGAGTCGACTCATCACCATTTCCTCCGTGTTTCAAATGTAAGAAGAAAATTCCACTTCGTTCCCCCCACTCAAGAACTGCTATTTGTAGAACAGACTCCCGCGTGAGTGTTTCCTTGAACATTACAATCGTCACCTCTTCAAGCCAAAAGTCAGCCGTTATCTTACCTCCTTATCCTAATAACCTTCACTTCCTATCGCCTCTTCTTTCATTCATATCACGCAACTCATTCATCATTACTATTTCAACAGTAACTTTTTACTTCAAGTGGCTCTCGAACCTTGTTTTGACCGAATTTCAGAATTAAAAAATGATACAGATTACAACTCCAGGGCAGAGATGTAGGCCGTCCCGACATATTTGCGTTGCAGGGTAATAAAAATGTTTGCTTTTACCCGTGCGTCTTTATGCAGTGCATCACATTAACCTGATCATTTACGCATCTGCCCTTGGGTGGGGGTAGGCGAATAAATATTGAGGTTAGATTTATTATTGTCTCAATACAGAACACAAAATGGATGCCTGGTCGTTGGAAATTCCAACTGTAGGTCAGCACCCCCCCCCCCATTACAGTATATATAAAAGGTCGGGAGTCACTCTGATGCCTTTGCGGCAAAATCGGTAGGGATTGGGCATTTTAACCTCAATCTGGACCTACAGCCGCAGGAGCCCACATTAAATCTTTTCTTATGTCATATCTTCTCTCGTAGAGGAAGCAAAGGACATCGTATAGCAATGGAAAGAGAACTAATTTGATCGCAGATTACTCCATTTGTCTAAACGAGAAATATACGCTTTGTTGAAGAAAGTCAACTTTCGTCTATGGCTCTGTTCCTGTAAGTATCAGTGAGTCTCAGAAAAGCCCGTTAAATATGGCACCACACCAAAATCCTTACAATTTTCATTATGAATATTAACGAAAACAATAATTATGCATACGGTAAATCTGAAGTTCTTCAGGATATCGGCGATCAAGTCTCTCCACAATTTCCTGTTTTTTGTAGCTCTTATCACTGTATTGCCATCCATTCACTCATTGTTATGTTCCCTAGAAATTTAAACTGTATTTTTCTAATGTTAAGTATAAGTGTACTTTTTGCTTCCATTGTCTCTAAAAATTCTTGGTTGCTCACATGTTTGGCCCATCGTATTCTCAGCATCCTTCTGTAAACCACATTTTTGTTGCTTCATATCCCTTCTTCATGTGTGAGATTTTCCAGCTACCAATAATTTATATTTGCTGGATTATAGAAATTTATTCGATATAATTTCGCTATCAAACTCCTTGCAACAGTAAAGCGTATTAACATATGATCACATCTCAGAACCATTTTTAAAAACGTTGGATCAGGATAAAATAATGTCATTTAAAGATTGAACATTTTGTATAGAAAAAGGAACGGTTGGACTACAGTGTTCTATTCGATTTAAGTGAGATCAAAATCCGTTTAAGTGACACGATAATTAATGATGTCTATTAATATTTGTAAAGTTTGACACTGTTATAAAGTTCGGAAATCGCTCATAGTTCTGATTAATAATATTGTAAGGAAACACTGGAAAAAAGTTGAGTGAAGAACAGGTTTAATCACATGGGAGACATGAATTAATAATACAGTAATAGATAATACCATACACCAGTGAGGCAATGTGCACGACTGGAACGCTCCGCCTTTCGACTCACTTTGCGACCACTGTTCCTATGGGCAAGACGCTCTGCTCATAGCGGATGGACGAGTCTATCCCCAACAATTAGTGTAGAAAAGGTCGGTCGTTTTTCTACACAACAGGCACACAGTCATTTGTTTGATTGATTGAATCGTTTTTTACGGCTTATCAACACTTTGAAGGTTTTTTAAAGCCAGTAAAATTTTTCTTTTTTATGAGGTAATAATAGTTTAGTGATACAAGTCTTATTAATATAGCTTGAAGAAGAAGAGGTGAATTCATAACTTCCCAGTTGCATTTGCGTCTAAGTGAATATAACGCAACCTAAACTGGAACTCTGCTTTCCGATTAACAATTCCAAGCCATTGTCCGTTACACCATCCGCACATCTTGTTATTCCGAAGTGGTCACCCATCTAGGTACTGACTAGGCCCGACGTTGCTTAACTTCGGTGATCGTACGGGAACCGGTGTTTCAACGTGACATGGCCGTAAGGCAACTGAAGCGTTTGTAGTGGATCGAACCCACCATCAACGATTTTTGAATTTAATCAATAGACACTAGAAAAAAGCTGATAAAACGAATTCTAGCATTGACTTTAATCAGATTTCTTTTTTTTTCACGAGGCTTTAAACTTCAAGAATAAAAGAAATAGAACCTTCTTGAATGTGGATTCTGCTTGATCTTAACCCCCAAAAAGTAGCAGAGTGAAATCTTTTTAAATTTAGTTTTTGACCGTCTGTTGACACCTTGTGTGTAAAAGTCGATAGTAACGTCTCCCTACCATCAGAAATACTTATCACATATGGCTTTCAGCAAACAAAATCGTTTGGTTAAGCTCGGTTGATTACATCCGAAGTTTGCATGGATATTTGGGAAGAGATTTATTTTTGTTGGTGGGCTATAACGGAGAGTTTATTTAAATAAACATGACAATTCATGAAAATTTAATGCGTGTGATGTGTGGTCTTCATAGAAAATGTAAATGATTTTTTGTTAAATGGTTTGGCAGCTTTGGTGTAGGGAGTTGGATCATATTCTCCTGGCGTCAGTTTAAACTGACAATTCTTTTTTCTATATATTTTGACCATTTTGCTTAAGGTTCTTGTTTTCTTGATTTCAGGTGAAATATTGAAAAGTTTCCAAGGAATTTCAGTGAAATTTACACTTTTCGAAATCATGCAGAGTATTAAGAGAGAAAAGATTCGTTAGAAACAAAGAAAAAAGAGTACTGAACTGCTAGGTAATACTGTCCTCCTGTATGGCAACGAATGCTGTACAATCTCCTCAAAAATGAAGAAGAGATATGAAGCAACAAAAATGTGGTTCTACAGAAAGATGCTGAGGATACTATGGACCGAACACTTGCGCAACGACGAGGGAAATAAAAATAAGCAAGGAAACTTATACTTAATATCAGGAAGGGGCAGCCGAAATTTCTGGGGCAAGTAATGAGAAAGGAGGGCTTGGAAAATCTAATACTCACAGGACAGATAGAGAAAAAGAGGGACAGATGAAAGCAGCGCGTAACGTACGTGATGGGCTTGAGTAAATGAATGGTAGAACACGGTTTAGGAGAAATAACAAAAAGACCAAACTTATTAAGAACTACAAGGGGTAGGAAGATATGGAGGGTCATGATCATCTACGTCCTGAAGGGACACGGCACATAAAAGAAGAAAGGAGAAGCATATAATCGAGCAGTACCCATGAAAATTTAACGTTTTCCTATTTGAATTTTCTGAAGAATCCTAATTCTTGATGTACATGGTATCCTGTATTAGTTTAAAATAAACGTTTCATTTTCAACCTGGGAAAGAAGTCCCATGATTCAATTTCCGTTTCTAAAGTCACCTTCGTAGATGTAAACTTGTATTGTGGTCATCAAAATGAAGCAAACAGAAATTTTACTATCTGGGGTGTGTAGTAACAGATGACGGAAAATGTAACAGTAATTCGAAGGCGTATAGAAATAGCAAAAGATGTCTTTCAGAAACTAATCAAAGTATTAAGACACGAAGATGTTCCAAGAAACATTGTTGAATTGCGTTGTAATCAGTTACAAGGCAGTAAATGTTGGACAATATTCTCAGGAAGAGATTTGAAAGGGCAGAGATGTTGTTCTATCGACTAATGTTGAGAACGACCATGGCAGCATATCTATGGCAATGAAGAATTTTAAAGAAAAAGAAGAACTACAGGAAACAGTCGGGAAGATACAACTAAACATTCTGGAACGCATAATGTAGAAAGAAGTCTTGGAGATTTTAGCAGACACATGGGATATTGAACTGGCACAGAAGTTAGCTTTTGATCGAAAGTAAACTATTCTCCTCATTTTAGATGGAAGAATACACCCGGTCCTGGGATTCCAATCTGGCGGCAGCACCTTCCTCATTGCACTAAGAGAGGTGGGGTCGGTTTAATATCGGCACCAGCGTGACAGTAGTCACGGTCACAGGGCAGTTTTTGATCTTTGCTCATATGCTTACGCCTGTGTATGGGCTCCACACAACGTTGTGCAACATTCTTTCTTTGTCTTACATTATTCGGACTATTGTCCTCATCTTTGTCGCCATATTTATTACAACGTTTCGGTCGTTGTACGCTCAGGGCTTCTTCAGATGGTTGGAATGTCGAACTGAACACTGTGCTATGTTTCCTCAAGGACACATGGCACAGTGGATAAAGGCGTTGGTTAGATCCAGTGACAGGACCCAAAGGGTGTGAGTTCAATACCCGGTTAAGGCAGTGGAAAACTTGGAGAAGGGAATTAACAGGAGATAACTGATAACTCATATCCATTGAACGTGGAACTAGAACAGTCTACCTCAGTGAGCGAAATAAAGGGTTTAAGGGAGACAGCGAAAAGACAGCATTTACTAAGGGTTACAATGGACTGGAAATTGTAGAGATCCATAATTGCCAACGTCCTGATGTGAGATGGGACATAGAAGAATGTTTCCACCACAGAAATCTCATAAGTTATCAATCTTTAGAAAGTCTATTTTCAGTTTGAATAAAGAGAACATTTGCATCAGAATCACAGAATAAGCAAGGTTTGATTGAAAAATATCTATGACCGTAGAGCCTAATATCAAAAGACTTTGTCGATGTTGAACATCTGTAAAGCTTAATAAATTGAACAAACATTATTTGGCGACGGTCTCATATGGAGTCAAATTGAATAATCTTTTAAAAATGGCTGCGATTTAATTAAGTTACGTTTTATAAATATTCCCCATTGAGAAACATGTTTCAATATGTTTGTGAGTTTAGGTGGCGTATGTTAAACGACACAAACTTGACTTTGCCTGTCTTTATTATACGGAATTTGTAATCCAGAATATAAATTATGTGCTAAAATTAAAATAATAAAAATAACAATGATGATAAGAATAATTTTTATAAAATGGATACATGGACGAATAAAGGCGACTTGAAAGAAAGAACAGAATCTTTGATATTCGCTGCACAAGAGAAAATCTTCAGAACCAACTATATCAAATATCACATTAACGAGTCTGCAGATTCTACATAGTGCATAATGTATGGAAAAGCCAGGGGAGACTGTGAGTCACATAGGAAGCGAATGCAACATATTGGTGCAATAAAAGTACATAAAGTGATACGACAGTATTGCACATATCATACACAGGGTACTATGTAATAAATACAAACTGGAGAGAGTAGAATAATGATATGAGCATAAACCACTTGCAGTAATGAAAAATGAGAATGTAAAGTTGCTCTTGGAATTTAACAAGCAATATGATAATGTAATTGAGGCAAGGTGTGCAGACATCATTACAGCCCAGAAGGAAGACAGTGTTTGATCTTCGATATAGGAGTACCAGATGAGGTAAGTGTAGTTGAGGAGGAGGAGGAGGAGAAAGGTAGCAATACTTGAAACATGGTGGCACGATTCTGGGGTCTTAGGAAATCCCTTATAACCGTGCTATCATGTAGAAGTTGTTCCTCTCGTTGTGGGCACATTTGGAGCTGTGACACAAAATCCAAAAATGGCTGAGTAAAATTGGAATTGGGATTCGAATCGAAATGCTTCAGAAAAGAGCACTGAATTCTGACAGCCACAATTCTGATCGAGTTGGTTTGTTTTAGGGCATATCAACCTCAAAGCGTTATTTAATGCCAGCAATATATATATATATGATCTCTTATCGATGCACGGTGGATAGCCGCTCGGATTGAGGAATCGGGAAGCCGAGCTCGAATTCGAGTCGAATGCATTACATATACTAATACTTGGGAAAAGTATTAATCCGCTTCTTCTCCCTCCAGCTATGGATAAATAGCAGGACAGACTGGGTTCTATAGCCTTGGATGGCAACTGGCCTAAGAGAAGGACAACTCTGAATTCAAAACCTACGAAGGGTCGTTTAGCGATGTAGGGACACGTTGAGCACCAAGTCTCTGCATTTGGCCCTCCAAAAAGTGTGTTTGGTTCTGCACAAAGCCTTTACTACTATAATCAAATCTTGTGTGCTGGTGTCTGGCTATTGGTTCCTAGAAATTGAGCTGTTTGACCCTCATGCATCGAATACGACGGCAGAGTCCGCCATATATATATATATATATATATATATATATATATAATGTGTGTGTGTGTATGTGAATAAAAAAATGGGTCATTTAATGCCGACAAGATTTTTATTGCTGTTAATATTTTTCCTTCAAAAATGCATTGCTGTTAAAGTATTGCTAGTCATAATTTTGCCTAAAAAACATTATTGCTGGTATTAAAACATTTTTACACTTTTATCGTATTTTGACCCCAGTTCGGGGGTCATTTATTTACCCATAGTTGGGAACCTAACAAGTGCTACCACCCCGGATCAGGGTGGACCTGGGAACACTAGCAATAAAGAGGTGGTTCCACGCTCCTCAAAACCTGATCAGAGGCCTTGCTGTTTGACGTAGTTTATCGTCTTACCCAAAACAAGATTGTAGTTTATCGTCTTACCCAGGACGCCTAGAATGTTTTCTCCATGAAGATTGGCGAAGAAATAAAATGACCCATACTCATTTGCTATGAATCATTGCTGGTTGTTAAATTCTACTTGAGAAATTGAGAAATATTACACATTATCGATCCTGACCTGGCATCTTGTCTGCAGTCACTTTCTCACCGATATGACATGGCTTCCATCTGTCTGTTCTACAAATATTTTCATGTCAACTGCTTTGAGTTTTTTTTTCTTCTGGCGCTCAGACTACAGGATTTTAAGCGTGCTATTAGATTGGCAGGTAGTTCTCACCGTTTTACTGTTCAATTAATTAGATGCAAACTCCACTTCTACTCTAAATGCTTCTTTTCTCGCAATTCCCAGCTTTGGAACTCCTTTCTGATTTTTTGCTTCCCTGATAACTACAATCTTCAAAAATTTAAATGCAACGTCAATCGTCATTTTCTGTCTTCTTGAAACCTGATCCTTTTTTGTCCACTCATCAATATTCCTAATTTTCAATCTTC